TTTTACTATAGATTTGTATAGAATGCCCATAGCAGGTTTATCTTCACTATCACCAATACGCAACACACGCACAAGTGGCTCAGTGAGTTTAACTACATCAATACATTTACTCCAAAATCCAGAATCTAAAACTTGATCCACAAACTGTTTTGCCTTTGCTTCTTTGGCATATGCTGAGCTTGTCCATTCTTTAGATGTTACCATGACTCTTAGTGAGTTTTTGTGAGACAAAATACTTTGCAAAGCAATTAAATTAGTGGCAAACCGAGTTGGAGCAGGACGAAGGATTTCTCTTCCACCTGTTTGCTTTCTCATTAAATACAATGCATAACAATGGTTATAAATATATTTGGTAACATTAGAAGCATGTGACACTGTCTCACTTACTTCCTCTAATTTTCCCAAGTCTTGCAACATCAAGTTAATGCAATGTGCCGCACAAGGAGACCAAAATAAAGTAGGAAACTCATTTTCTAATAACCTTCCAACAGCAACATAATTTGCAACATTATCTGTCACTATGTGAACTACATTTTCAGGCCCAACAAATAAAACCACCTCTCTAAAAAGCTTATACAACATATCTGCAGTTTTTGAAGCATGAGAAGCATCAACGAATTTTAGAAAAATAGTACCTTTGGGACAATAAACTAGAAAGTTTATAAGAGTTCTTCTTTTTCGATCAGTCCATCCATCAGCCATTAGAGTACAACCAGTTTTCTTCCAAATCTCACGATACTCCTCTATCAATTTGTTCACATCTTCAACCCATTTATTTAACAAATAGCCACGAAGACTATGCATAGTTGGAACTTTATACCCCAGACTCATGCTGCAAAGTGCATCAGCCATAGATTGAAAATACGCAGAATTAGCTGCATTGAATGGAACAGAAGAATCAATGAACCATATTGCAATAGCTAGATCACACTTCTCCACCAATTCCTTACTTTGTAACACGCTTTTTAAACAAGGTTGAGCTCCAGGAGTTGTTCTAGGCATAAAATAATTACCAATACGACTAGTATTGTTTCTCTTTTGAGACACAATCACAGAATTTTATCTTGATTGTTCTACATCCATTTCTACTACACCATCCTCTTGAGTAGTAAGATCAACATCAAAATTTTGTGCTTGAGTCTTTCTTCTCTTATTTGCACCTTCATCAAGATTTTGTTTCATTTGATATTGAACATCTGGAGGCACCTTTTTACATGTTTCAACTTGACCTTTTATTCCAGCCAAATGGAATTTGAACCTATTAATCCCCCCTCCTCTAATAATTTTATCACAGTAAATACACAAATTAACAAGTTTTCCGTTCTCTTCAATTTGTTTACAATAACCTCAAGCTATATCAGTTTTTCCCCTACTGCTCTGGAGTTGGGTTGGATTTTGAGATGTAACTTCTTCCGAAGTTATTACTTCAGCGGGTGATGCCATATCTAATATCAATCAAAATTTAAAAATACAAAACTATATTACAAAAATATTAACAAAACACAATTCTAAACAAAAATTATTGAATTTATAAAAATATTATAAGAAACATTAAATATGTAGCATATCTAAATCCAAAATATATGAATATGTTGTTGTATATTACATATAGGCTACCAAGCATCGTTATTGTGCATCACCATATATAATAAAAAAATAGAAACTTTGCTTTCCAGCCTTTGCTATATATTTTAGATTAATAAAATCCTGAAACTTTTCTTTGTTATATAATTTAAATTAATAAAAAACAGAAAACTTTGTCTTACTATATAATTTAGATTACATAGTTTTAAACCCAATTTCTATCTCCATAATATATACAACGACTATTACAGTAATATATATCTATCCCAATTTCTATCTCCAATATACAACAACTTCATTACCAGTCTATAATAAGTTAATTCATAAAAGTATAAAACTGCTTCATTCATATAAATTCTATCTCAATTTGTTAAGCTAAAAAACCCAATTTTATAGAAAATGATCAAATTTAATCATTTATTTTCTATATCAATTAATCAACAAAATGAAACAATAATTTTCATATTGAAAAACATCAATGCAAATTAGACCAAGTAAAAAAGAAATAACCTGTTTTTTATGTTTTGATAAAATTTTTGACGGCAAACAAGGAATATCAAATAACAGCAGCAAGTGAGAGTTTTTGTTGGTAGAGAAAATTGAGAATATGACTTCAATTATAAAAAGAAAAGAAAGAATAAAAAAGAAAACCTTTCAAATGCCTAGGTTTGGGAAACGAGGAGGCAAAACGTTTATGTTAATTTTTTTTTCAAAAGCCCTAAAAAATAAAATAAATAGTCAAACCCGCCGGTTCAGTAAAAACCGCTGGTTCACTGATTTAACCGGTGAACCGGCCGGTTCACACTGATTTCATCCGGTTTAGATGTAATTCCAGTCTTATTCCTTAATCGGACCGTCTGGCCCACCGGTTCTCGATCAGACTGGCCCGACCGACCGAGTCGGGCTGGGTTTTAAATCACTGATAAATAATAATAAGTTTGATGACTTTATATCATTGTCACTGAGAAAAATCTTTGGTAGTGGTGATTCACTTTGATGTTTTTAATACACATATTTGGATAGGTTAATATTATTTACTTCAAAATTCAAATTCAACTGTTTCTACTGTTTTTAGATGTTAGAGTAATTAGATTTTGATAGATTCAACTTAATTTTTAATGTTTGTCTTTGATAAGGAAATATGCAATTTTTTGTTATTAGATTTAATTTACATATTTACAAACTTTTTTAAATAGAATTTTACTTCTACAAAAAAGGTCATTTATTCAATTGCAAAGAAGCTAAAAATATTTCAACAATTAATAAATAATTATTTTCATTAATATTTTAATCATTATTAAATAATTAATGAATAATTTAATTAATATTATTATTAAACAATTACTATTAAAATATTGAATAGTTTATTAAAAATTTCAAATTAATAAATAGTCACAGTAAAACTTTATATATATATATATATATATATATATATATATATATATATATATATATATATATATATATATATATATATATATATATATATATATATATATATATATCTAGGCCATTGAATTAAGATATATTTCTAAAATTGATTATTAATTTCTCTTTCTTATTAAAAGCCTCTGATTTTTTATATTTATGACACATGATTTAGTGAAAGATATGATTTAATCTCAATATTTGTTTTTAAATCTGATGGTTGTTGTTAATTCTCACATTCACATATAACTTACCAATTCTCACTTCAAAGTAAAAATACAATAAAAATCCACGTGAATTTAAAGAATAATTTTGACAAAAATCAAACTCAAGAACTTAATTAAAATTATTTTCATATCTTTAAAAGTGATAAATGAGATATAATGACGTGTAATATGAATTCAAACAGAAATCGTGCGATATCACAGATATTGGCGTGGTACGTACGCATTTTATTTTCTTCTAATATGAGTATCATATGAAATGAGAAAATTTAAAGTTATTGATTAAAAACTAAATAATAACGAGAATAAATTTACTATTGATTCAATTATTTTAGTAAATAATAACAAAACAAAAATAATATTTATAGAGGAAAAATTTTATTGTTTTATTCAAATATTTTTATATACGGAAAAAATTATAGACACTAATATATCATCTCTTTTAAAAATAATAAATTTTTTATTTAAAAAATATTTCCTTTCTGTCTTTTTTTTTATATTACATTTTGACAAAAACGTGTGGATCACACCAATACCTGTTTCAACGCACGAATATCCAGTAGTTAAAAAATATAATAATATTATTATAAGACACCAAATTAATTTTATAAATATAATAGAAGTTGTACATAGGATAATAATTAAAAGATACAGTTAAAAAACTATTATTATTTTTACAATAAAAAAGTAAAAATGATATTAATTTTAAATTTTATTGACTACAATCACATTATTAGAAGAAAATATTACTTTTATAATTGTGATAAGAAACAACAAAAGAGTTGAGAAAAATCGATTCTTCACATAAACATGTCTCCCCACCATATGTAATTTATTGACAATTCAAATAACAACATTGCCATAGTACATATTTCTTAATTTGTTGTGGCAAAATCTGAGCCACTTTGGAGAGAAAGGGATGAGATGTGTTCATAAAAATCTAATAAATATGCTTAAAAAGAGATGTGAATACAATAGGAATGACATTCTATAAATGAACCAACCACACAAAAGAAAATAAATTATAGATACGCAAATCAAATTGCAACCATATTAGAGATATTATCTCCCCACATTTGACGTATCTAAAAATGGAAGTCTTAAAGATATATCTCCACCACAACCATATTAATAATGATTATAGTACATCTGTATCCCCAACCATATTTCTCCGGTCTGTATACTTAATACATAATTATATTTTCATTTGTAGTATATGCTATAAAACAAAAATATATATTTTTCGCTAATAAATTTTAATTTAAAAATTTTCACACACATTATAATTTAATTATATTTATAATTATTTTTATTAATAACTATATATAATTTTATTAATGTTAAAATAACCTTACAAACTAAATTATTATTATAAAGGCACAGTAAAGCATGTTAAGCTATGTTTTATTTTTAAATTAAAAAAAAAACTTAAAATTTTTTCTTAACTAATATTTGAAATGATGTAATATTTTAAAATAATTTTAAAGACTGCTATCAACATTCTCTTTATAACACTTTCTTTAAAATTTGAGTCTCTCAATATATATATTTATTGAAGGGTGAGTGTTAGAAGAAATGGTATAAAGAGAATATTTTTTAATATTCCTCACATTTTAATAATGTTCTATTCCCTACCAATAATTATTGAAGAAAACCGTCCACAATTATTGTATGTAGTATGCTTATAGTTCTATATAAACAAGTGAAAGGATCATGTTCATGACATATCAACGTGAAAAAGTAAGAAAGCAAAACACTCAAAACATGGGAGAGATACATTCAGCTTACATTCTATCCACTGAACACCGTCCCAACTCCTCTACCTTTGTCAAAGTTGATACAATTCCCATCATCGACCTCTCACAAACGAGCCAAAAAAACCTCATCTCAGAGATTGGTAAGGCATGTGAAGAATGGGGATTTTTTCATATAATCAATCATGGAGTTTCCTCTGATCTTATCAATAAGGTTGCAAATGAGACCAAAAAGCTTTTTGAACTAAGTATGGAGGAAAAAAAGAAATTGAGAAGAGATGCAGTGAATGCAACGGGATATCATGATTCTGAGCATACTAATCTCACAAGGGATTGGAAAGAAGTTTATGATTGTCTTATTAATGAAGGAATACAATACCCTTCTACTGATGATCCAAATGACTTGGACCTATGAACTCTAAAAAATCATTGGCCTCAATCCCTTCCACATTTTAGGTACTCTTACTTTTATCAAATGATTTAAAGAATATATATATATATATATATATATATATATATATATATATATATATATATATATATATATATATATATATATATATATATATATATATATATATATATATATATATATATTCCATATTTTAAGTATTCTTATTTTTATCAAATGTTTTAATGGAGAAATAGAGACGGATGAAGTGTGTCATATCACTGTCGATTATTAAAATGATATACTATATTGTAAAAAATTATTAGACAATAATCACATAAAATGAAACTTCACATAATTTCTAAACTAATGCAACATAAAAACTATCATTGTGTTTTTTCTTAGGGAAACAATAGCAGAATATGGTGCGAAGCTAGAAAAGCTGTCTTTTAAGTTGTTGGAGTTAATTTCATTGAGCTTAGGCTTACCTGGTGACAAATTCTTTGACTGCTTCGAGAATCAATTAAGCCTTGTGAGACTCAATTACTATCCTCCATGCCCTTCTCCTGATTTGGCACTTGGAATTGGTCCTCACAAGGATCCTTGTGTTTTGACTATTGTTGCACAAGATGATACTGGAGGTTTACAAGTTAAGAACAATTCTGTTGGCGGTTGGGTTCCTATTGAACCTATTCCTGGTGCATTGGTTGTTAACGTGGGTGATGTTTTTCAGGTGCGTTGTTCCTATAATAACATATTTGATATTGGATTAAGACAGGGAAAATTTCTTTTTAAAATCATCTTAAGTTAATTTATTAATAGAAAATGGTCAAAAGTGTTATGTAGCACACCATGTCATCATCATCTTTGTCACGCTCTCATATTATGTGATTTTTTCTTTTATTGGACATTGTACTATTTTATGTTTCATGTTATTGTATTTTTATTTTATCTTTTTGGTGATCAATATGACACATCTTATGTGATCTCACAACCTTTATTGTGTATTGTTTTTCTCTATTTATTTTCTAATATATTTTTATTGTTAAAAAACTAACAGTATTTTATTTGACGGCATAAATAATATATTACTTTACTTGCACATTTAAGATGTACTTTAAGATCAAATTATTTTTCCTGTCTAATTCAATTCCATAAAATTGATTGATAATTTATTTTTGTCAAAATGGTAAATACAATTTTTATAAATTTAATACTAAAATAATTATGTAAGTCCTAAATTTTAAATTAGAAGAAAAATCAATTAACAATATTTTTTCATAGATTCAATTGTTTCAATCTTAAAGTGGGGTGTTTTGCAGGTTTGGAGCAATGACAAGTATGACAGTGCAATACACAGGGCTACAGTAAACTCACAAAAAGAAAGATATTCGTATCCATTCTTCTTTTTTCCAGGTCACGATATTATGGTGCAGCCTGCAGAAGAGCTAGTGAGTGAGAAAGATCCTGCAAAATACAAACCATACAATTTTGGAAAATATTACTCTAATAGAACCCGTCATGATTTCAACAAAGAAAAGGTTGCGGGTAAAGAGATTCATGACTTCAAGATTTCAGATTAGCTATTAAAAAATATCCAACTCTTGTTTTGGATATTATGTTGTTTTTCATATCCTTAGTCTCTTCAAAGACCAAATAAATTGAGCTTCCGTTTATTAATTTATGTATTCTAGTACGACAGTTGACAAGAACTATCTCGAAACTGTCAGAATGTGTGAAAGATGACGATTTTTATAAAATCGTCGTAACTTATGTGTTGTAAAATAAAGAATTTCTTCTAGTGGAACTTCTCCTCTAATTTAAATAAATATTTGTCCTTTCTTTGTTTTCAATGAATTTAAAATTGATTACCTCTTCGTTGTTATAGATTTATTTTTAAATGTCATTACTTAAGTTATTTATATATATATTCACTTTATTCATTTTTTCTTTATATTTTATTTTTTAGAAGAAAACAATTAATAAAATAATTGCTACAAGTTCTTTTATTTTCTCTTAGCAATTGATATAGCTCCTTAATATTTTTTCTTATTTAATGATATATATTTAAGAGTGCGGAACATATTAGATGTAGTTCATAGAGTCTCACCTTTGGATAGTATGTGATATTTTTGCATTTAAAATTTTTTTCTAAAAACAAATCAATGTTTAAAATGCTAATATTTTTAGTGATGCATGACCTATTACTACTATGAAAAGTGATTTTACCACAATTAAAAAATAGGTTCTACCTTTATTTGCAAGATGTGGTAAAAATAGTGTCATAGGAGGTACATCACTTTTCTCGTTGGATGATATGTCAGACGAGGAAATTTAATCTTCAGCAATATTATTATTGTAAGTGGACAACCCTTTTCTTCTCTATTTATTTTTGTATTTGAGGTGAAATGTAAATATATATTGAAGTTGGAAGTTACAAGTAAGGAGGAAAACTCTTAAAGAAATAAAAATAATATCTTGAGTTATGTGTTTTCTTTGTTGTGATTTGAATTTTTTTTAAGACAAGATTTGGATGAGAAAAAATGATTTGATTTTATACTATAGTGTTTTTTCCTTTTAGTATAAAACTCACAACAACAAACAATACACCTATTATGTGTGGTCCAAACATGCTATAAATTGCCTATACACGAAAATTGAGAAGTTTTTTAAGTTTTAAGATGAATTTTTAATTTTTTACTATGTCTTTTCAAACACAAAATATGATATGAAATTGAGAGCTCATTTATTTGTAAGAAGTCGCGTGTTATAAATTTTGACTAAAAAGATGAATATTGAAATACTGAAATGATTTTACTAAAAATCCTAAAATGGAAAAGATAAGATGCAGTGAGAAACAATCCAATAAATTATAGCATTAATAAAGTATTCATACAAGAATAATTTGAATATATTAAACATATAACACAGCAAAATATTAAAATGAAATAACTATAGACTAAAGCAACATCAAATCACATAAATCTATTGTGTTAAACATTTTTGGTTCCAATCATATGACTAATATATTATTCATTGGTTGGTGGGTTGGCAAGGATCTAGGAAGACGTGTTGTTGAAAGTAACATACATAGCAAACCTCGAAAGAGAAAAATTGAGTGGAGTTATATGCTGTAGGCCCATCAAAAGAGACTGAAAATCAAGTCTGCCTTATCTAGTTCATTCGGATTTGGGGACACAGTTCTTCAGTTGTATTTTCCCCATTTCGGATAATACTACATTCATGTTATTATTATTAAGAGTATTATTATTTAATTATTTTTTATCTTTTCTTTTCTTTTTTATGTAAGTGTGCTTAAATTTTGTATCTAAATTTTGAGGCTGTCAAAATAATAATGCAAGTGTGAGTAAATGGAGAAATAATTTTGAGGCTATTCAACCTAATTAATAGAAGATTGTGTTGAGTCGAGACATTGTGGTTGATGAAAATTCTTTCTGAGATTGAAATTCTAATGATGCAATTAACAAGCCAATGATGAACTATGATTTCACCGAAGAAACTGATGAAGTTGAAGTCAAAGAAATTGCAAATATTCTAATTGAAGCAGTTGCTAACATTTCCGACACTACCGAAGTCGAAGAGGGTGTGGCTAGCACAAGCCAAATACCTCAAAGAACTAGAGTTCTTCCAGCAAGACTTCGTGATTATGAAGTGGTTGGTGATGATGAAGTCACACTAGATGAAGAATTAATAAACTATAATGAGGTTTTGAAGATTAAACAGTGCAAGTTTGCTATAGTCGAAGAGCTACATGCAATCGAAAGAAACAACACATGAGAGTTAGTTGAATTGCCAGCACATACAAAAGCAATCGAAGTTAAGTGGGTGTTCAAGTTGAAGCACAATGCTGATGGATCGAGAGCAAGATATAAAGCAAGATTAGTAGCTCGAGGTTTTCTTTAAAGAGCAGGACTCGACTACTCTGAAGTATTTTCTCCAGTAGCAAGATTGGAGATTGTTTGACTAGTGGTAGACATTTCATTTAGATGTGAAATCAGCATTTCTGAATGGTCCTTTAGACGAAAAGGTCTATGTCACTCAACCTCCAGGGTTTGTGATTCAGAAGGAAGTGAGTAAAGTATATAAGTTGCACAAAGCACTCTATGGTCTTAAGCAGGCACCTAGGACATTGAACACTAATGTAGGAAATCTATTTTACATCAAGCAAAAATTACTTTTTACATCGGTTCTTGGTCCGATGTAAATCCAAGTGATGTAGTAAATCAAAGACATTTTACATCGGGCTACATCCTGATGTAAAAAATCAACCTATTACATCGGTTCATTTTTAGAACTGATATAAAAATAATAATAAAAAAAAAAATAAAGACAAGCTTTTACATCGGTTTTCTTAATATACCCGATGTAAATAATTGTTTTTTACATTGATTTTCTTAATATATCCGATGTAAAATACTTGTTTAATATGCCATATTTAACTAAATCAGGTGCATTCTCGGAATTTATTTATTTGTACCTAATTTTTCATATTTTTCCAACATCACAACCACATTTAACTAAATTAGGTGCATTCTCGAAATTTATTCATTTGCACCTAATTTTTCATATTTTTCCAACATCACAACCACATTTAACTAAATCAGGTGCATTCTTGGAATTTATTCATTTGCACCTAATTTTTCATATTTTTCCAACATCACAACCAGATTTAGATCACCTAATATTTTTCATTACACCAAATATCTAGGATGCACATATAAAAGTATTAATCTAGGATAAGAAAGTGTACAAAATTATAAGGAAGTTTACAAAAGGTGGATTACTACAACAACAAAACCAATGAAATTATTCAAAAATATCCACATTTGAAATATCAACATGTAATCCGCAAGAAGATGAGTTGTAGCTTAAGTAGACAACACCAAAATCACATTTGCTAACAATAAATAATAACACCAATTAACATCAGCAGACAACATCAAAATCAAAAAACTCAAATCAAATATGTATAGACAATTCTAAATAACTCACCAGTTCAAGCTCAATTTTTATATAACTCAAAGAAACATTTTTCCCAACAGAGTCACAAATCATACAAATCATCTTGTGTTAATTCTGTTGGATCATCAAATACCTACAATGCATAAATAACAATATAAACTCATTCTTTAAAAATTCACATTAAGTTGTAAAACGCAAAGTAACTATAAAAGTAAAGTTTTTTTATTACCTGCATCCAAGAATCAGTTATATTGGTAGAGACAATATCCAACATATTTTTCATCACTTAGTATCCACAATCATTAGAGTTATGTTGTCTTCTTGTCTAGACAAACGAATGACATAATTAGTGAATACTTGATATAAAATTAAATATAGATTTATAATATACTACTCACTTACATTAGGATGAAGCCATGTAGCTTTATTTCTATTTCCATTTTCTATTTGATGAACCCCAAAAACACTAATTCAAAAAAAAAATCATATAAAGCCACATAAAATAGGAAATTACTTTTGTAACAATTTATGTATACGTGATATATAATATATTATAACAAAAGTCACAAAGGACAAACTTAGTAATAATTTTCTTCGTGATTTGATCAATTTTCCAATGAAACAAACAAAAGACGACAACAATATTGTCTCTTGGACAAATGACTATTAATTGCCAATGAGATCTGTACGTGTGTGGAAACACAAAAGTCAAATAAAATATCTATGCTATCAAAATTAAAAAATAGAAAACTCAATTCCAAAAAAACTTACTTATGAACTAATGGTAGTAAGTGACACACTTTGTTTTCATCACGTAACTTGTCTAATATGTATTTTTTAAAATCTGCTTCAGACTTCAGCACATTATCAATATATATACACCTACCAGGGTCCATAAATCCATACTTCTGATGTAGAATTATCAATACACATATGATGAATATACCTGAATAATTTTAATATTGACATTAGAATCAAAGTGATGAGAGATATAACACATTAATAGATATTGACAATAATAAAAAAAGAAAATACACTTACGTGCACCAAACTTGCAGAATAGACACATCAAGCCAATGAAAGCCCGCCAACAATTCTCTGATACACTTAGCTGACATATAGAAATTAGTGACACTCACACAATGACTTAATTCCATTTGCAAATGTGTGTCAGCCATTTTCAGAACCATGAGTAACAATATCTGAACATCATCAACTTCAAAGTCATTTGTGCTTTCTTTTGCAACTGAACAACTTTCTTTTCCGCTTCCATCAACAACTTCTATTTTTTCAATGCATTTAGTATTATCTCCGCTTTGTGATAAATCAATAGACCTAAGTTTCTCCATTAAAGATTATTGCATTACCTTACGCTCTTCACACAACTTTTGCTCAAAATCAGCTCTAATTCTTGCTTCTAATTCAGATGAAATTTGTGCAAATTGTTCATTTACATATACATGAATACGACCTTCCAAAGTAAGTGCTTTGTTTATGGTGTTTTCCAACACCACGAACACGACCGCCATGCTCAGATGTTCCAATGGATGCTGTTAAGATATCGTTTCGTTCTTCCGGAACAAATGTGCCTTTTTCAGCC